ATTAATTTGATCAATTTAATATACCTTGATTTCATTCATGATAAAGTCCTAATAATAGAATTAAAATAAAAATAATTGATGTAATTGTTCAACATATAATATTAGAAAAATTAATGATTAAAATAATTGGAAGAATTAAAGCAATTTCTACATCAAAAATTAAAAAAATAATAGTGATTAAAAAAAATCGAAGAGAAAAAGGTAATCGGGCACACTATATAAGGGTGATTTTCCCAATGAAATAATTTTGAAACAACCAACGACAACATCAATTTGAAAACAAGTAAAAGAGTGTTATTTATATAAAAACAGTCGTTGTTGTTGTTGTCGACAGATATACACTTAGCCTATGGTTTTCGGATTTAATGTTGATAAAACTAGCTTCAAATAAAATTTAAAAGTTTATATAATATATATCATTTTTGGGGGTGGCGCTTGAGGAGAGTGCAGACGGGTCTCAACATCGGACTTGATCTAGGCTTGATAAAGATAATAGATTGTGCAAAGTTTGGTTCAAATTGGGCTTTCCATTCGCTTGATATCGGATTTATAAATATTAAAAATTTTTACTCTTTGTGGGGGAGGTACCATAAGAAGTGGAACAATGGGTCCCATCTTTGAACTTGGTCTAGGCTTGGTACAGATAATAGGTTGTGCAAAGTTTGGTTCAATCCGAACTTTCCATTCGCTTCATATCGGATTTATAAATATTAAAAATTTTACAATTAAATATACAAAATATATTTTGTATTACTCCAACAATCGATTTGATATAATAAATGCCATTATTAATCCACATTTTCTCATATACTGCCAACAGATACCAGTCTTCTTCAATAACGCCTTTCGAAATCGTATCATTCCCCATGTTTTGAATTTTTATTTCAAATATTTATCAATTTTAAAAATTATTATATCTACTAATTCTAGAAATTTCTGGTACCATCGGACCTTTATTTTCGATATTAAGGATGTTTTTCCCAATGAAAGGTGCACTGTAAAAATTTTTACCAATTTAGATAGATTTCTTAATTTTATTTGTTTCCACAAATTGCCAAATAAAATATGCCACTTTAAATATGTGGCCACTTTTAAGTCCATGTTTTTTTTTTGCACAAAAACCGTTATTTATGGAAAGACTGCTGGAAATAATTTTCTTTCTTCACACTAAATCTCTATATATAACGGGAGTCTCATAAGTCCCAGTCTCCGCTTCGACAGCCAACTGTCTGAGAAGTCTCGCGACGTCCCTACCGGCCATGGAGGTGGAGTTCGGATCCCCAACCTCGCCAGGGTTAACACCCCTACTCATCATCTGGGAGGACTCACTTTGCTGATGAGACACCATGATAGCTACGGTGTTCGTCACCGTAGTGCTAATCACTGTGGTTTCCATGATGTCTTCCTTGGCTGACAAGGGTGAGTCGTCCCAGAGTCACGTCATCGAGAGTCACATGATTTGAGGTAAAAGAGAGGTCTAGGGGATGAGGTTGGGTCATCAACATGGGGGTTCTTTGAAGTCTGAGTTCGACACTGAGGGGTGCCTAGGCAGCCACACAGGCATCAGTCGAAAAATAGCATACCATATGATTTTAGTGAGGGATTGAGGTCGACCATGGCATCAAGCCTCCGTTCTAATACAGTCGCGGCCCTGACTGCAAACCGTAGAACACTGATGAGCACGAGGTCGCATGACATCCCAGCGTTAGGGGGGTCACTTTAAGAGGAAGTCACCCAGACCTTTGAGATGGGTATTTAGAGGCTCCATTCTCGCTTCATCAGCTCAGGGATCATAGGTCATTTCCTCTCCCTTTGAACCCGCTGATTGTCCGCGACTGCAGGATGCGCCGATGGTTTATCTGCCGAACTATTCAAGACCGGTGGTTAGATGCTGGTCAGGAACATGCACCAGCTCATTTTTACAATTTGACTAGAGAAATGCATGCCCAATGATTGGAACCTCAGCATACTTTGTCCCGTAAACAAAAAAGATGACAAGACAATATGTGCCAACTATAGAGAAATAAGTCTCCTTCCCATTGCATATAAAGTGCTATCTAGCGTGATGTGTCAACGACTGAAGCCAATGGTCAATGGCATTATTGGACCACACCAATGCGGCTTCAGGCCTGGCAAATCCACCACTGACCAGATTTTCACTCTGTACAACATATGTTACTCGCCTACGCCGACGACATCGACATAATGGTTCGAGCATTGCTAGCGGTAACAGCCACATTTGAATGAATTGAGAAGGTGTCTGCCAAAGTGGGATTGGCAGTAAATGGCGAAAAGACCAAGCTGATGGTATCAACGCGCAAGTCATCCAGTAGACTCGGACCAATTGTGGAACTCGAAAACTACAGCTTCGAGGTAGTGAACGATTTTATATACCTAGGTACCGTCATACAGAAAATTAATAACATCAGCTTTGAAATCCGGAGGAGAATAGTGTTGGCAGCGACTACGTTGGCTATGCCACCTTGAGAGAATGGATGAAAATGCCCCCAGCTCAAAAGGCATATAAAAGCGAGCCAAGTGATGGTTCACGCAGAAGGGGTTTGCAACGAATCCGATGGAAAGATCAAGTAGAAGACAACATCTCGAAAAATGATCTTTCAAATTGGATGAGATGCGCACAAGACCGACGCGCCTGGATTTTTTTAAGCTCGGCTTATAGAACAACCGTTCTGCCATAAGCCAGCTATGTAAGTAAGATCAAGTCCGAAGATGGGACCCATTGGTCCACTCCTTCTGGTACCTCCCCCATACCTGTCAAAATTTTTAATATTTATAAATCCGATATCAAACCAACAGAAAGACCGATTTGAACTAAAACTTGGCACAACCTAGTATTTTTACCAAGTCCGAAATTGGGACCCGTCTGTCCTCTCTTCTCACCACCCCCAAAAAGGGTCGATATTATATAAACTTGTAAATTTTATTTGAAGCTAATTTGATCAACATTAAATCCGAAACCTCCTTGAACATATAGCTTATATAAAAAAATAATAAAACCTATTTGTAACTCTGAAGAAGTCCGAAAACCATAGGTTGAGAGTATATATCTGCCGGCAACACCGATTGACACTTTTCCACTTGTTTATATTCGGTTGGGAAAAAAGTCCATTATTTTTTCGGCAGATGAATGTACCGATATATTTCTCGTAAAGTATCGATCAAACAATTTCAGATTTATGCTCGTTGGAAGGGTGACACTTCGCCGTAAAAAAAAATATTTTGCTGTTTTTTGTTTGGTGCATTCACAGTATTTTTAGATGGTTTTTCGAGCTGATACTGAACAATTTATTAATTTTTAAGTAAACACATTTCCAGTAAAGACATTTTCTAAACTTGTAGAATTTTTCCCCCATATAAAAACATTTACAGCCAGGTGATAGTAATCAGGATCCCAAGTTATTACAAGTCATCAATTTAACTGCCGTTGCTATAAAACGTCTAATTAAAATGGCCAAAAAGATTGCCGCTTTTCGTGATATGTGTCAAGAGGATCAGGTGGCCTTATTAAAAGGTGGATGCACAGAAATGATGATTATGCGATCGGTGATGACATATGACTATGATCGCAATACTTGGAAGGTATTATAACATCTTTCAGATTTCTTTTGAGTGAAAATTAATTAATTTTTTTTAACAAAATTAGATACCCCATACCAAAGAAGATATGTCCAATATTAGAGCTGAAGTTCTGAAATTGGCCAAAGGCAATGTATACGAAGAGCATATAAAATTTATAAGCACATTCGATGAGAAATGGCGCATGGATGAAAATATCATATTAATAATGTGTGCCATTGTATTGTTCTCACCAACAAGGCCGCGTATTATTCATTCCGATGTCATCAGATTGGAACAGGTGAGTTTGTTTACGCAGCTCGTCATTTGTTTTTATTAAAAATTAAATAATTTTTTTAATTATTCTAGAATTCCTATTATTATCTTCTGCGAAGATATTTGGAATCTGTTTATCCCGGTTGCGAAGCCAAATCAGCGTTTATAAAACTAATACAAAAAATATCAGACGTTGAACGTCTGAATCAATTTATTATTGGTGTCTATTTAAATGTAAATCCATCACAGGTTGAACCTTTATTAAGAGAAATATTCGATTTGAAAAATCACTAAAACCCAAAATTCATATTGTATTTATTGTTGTTATTGTTATATACCACACATGTCCTTTTATATTAACTTTTTTTAGTTTTAAATATATATGCTATCTATCTTTAAAATATTTCTAAGCATCAAATGCTCTGCAATGCCTATAATTTAATTATTTTTTAATTGTACAACAGAAAAATAGTATTAAAAATTAAATGTTTTTTTCTTTCGTTAGTGTTTATTTTGTACTTGTGATAAATGTACAAAACTGTTAAAGAAGTAACCTAAAAAAATGTGTATAACAAATAGCTATCTTTCTATCTATATATAAATATATTTACACACGTTATATGATGTATGTCTACAAAAAGAAAAGAAAAAATGCAAATATTTTATTTATCTAAAATTAATTTTACTGTGCAATAAGAAATATTTTAAGGTTATATATCAAACAATAAAAAATTGATATACGATTTTGCTTTAAAATAAAAATAAAAAACAAAACTAAATAAAGTATGGAAAACCTCCATAAGAAAAAATTACTTTATTTTAGAATTCGTGTGCATTTAACTTAAATACTAGCAGTACAATTTGAAAAAAAAATACTCAATATACAAAAAATACCCCATAGAACTGTGGAACGCCGTTTAATTTGGAATAACACGAGTTGTACTCTGAAATAACATCAAGACTTCAAAATGAATATATACATCAAGTCTGTGGATTCGTTGAAGATTTTCAAATGTTTGCTCTGCTGTTTTTTCTTAATAAATTTGTTTTTGGTTTGAAATGATGGAAGGTTGCTTTCAAAATTAAAACGAAGACATGTGAATCTTGGCTTGTCCACATGCTCACCAAGTTCGAAGATGGGGAATATCGGTCCACTTATTGTGGTACCTTCCCCACAAAATGGTCAAAATTGTGCTAAAAATAATTTTAAAATATCATGCGAACAGACTATGCGATTTGAACGAAACTTTTTACAACCTCTTAGCTTTACTAAGCCGTGATCAAGTAGGATCCTCCCCACAAACGGGTCAAAATTTTCAACATTTAAAAATCCAATATCAGGCGAACGGACTATCTGATTTGAATTAAACTTTGCACAACCTATTATCTTTACCAAGTTAATAGCCTAGGGACCCATTGGTCCACTCCTTCCTCCCCCACAACGGGTCAAAATGTTCAATATTTATAAATACAATATCAGGCGAATTGAATGCCCGATTTGAACCAAAGTTTGCACAACATATTATCGTTACCAAGCCTAGATAAAGTCCGAAGATGAGACCCATTGGTCCACCTCTTCTGGTACCAACCCCGTAAAGAATCAAAATTTTCAATATTTATAAATACAATATCAGGCGAACGGACTATCTGATTTGAACTAAACTTTGCAAAACTTATTATCTTTACCATGTCTAGATCAATTCCGAATATGCGACCCATTGGTCCACTTTCTATGGTACATCCCCCAAAAAAGGTCAAAATGTTCCATATTTATAAATCCAATATCAGGCGAACGGACTATTCACTTTTAACCAAACTTTACCCAGTCTATTATCTTTACCAAGCATAGAGACTAGGGACCCATTGGTCCACAAAGGTTCAACATTTTCGATATTTATCCGATTTCAGCCAAACTTTAGCGTAGAGCCTAGGGACCCATTGGTCCACTCATTCTGGTACCACCCCCACACGGGGTCAACATTTTCAATATTTATAAATCCAATATCAGGCGAACGGACTATCTGAACTAAATTTTTGCACAACCTATTATCTTTGCCAAGCCGAAGATGGGACCCATTGGTCCACCCCTTCTGGTACCCCCACCCCCACAACGGGTCAAAATTTTCAATATTTATAAATACAATATTAGGCGAATTAAATGCCCGATTTGAACCAACGTTTGTTCAACCAATTATATTTACCAATCCTAGATAGAGTCCGAAGATGGGACTCATTGGTCCACTCCTGGTACCTGCCCAAAAATGATTAACATTTTCAATATTTACAAAACCAATAGTAGGCGAATTGATAAACATTAAATCCGAAACCTCTGTGATAAAAACATACTTGTATAAAACGAATGATATAACCTGTGTGTAACTCCGAAGACAACCGCAAGGCTGAGGGTATACGAGGGCTGTTCGCAAAGTTTATAGTCTAGCACAAATAGCGCGGTATAAACATAAAAAAGTTAAGTATTTTGGAAACTTCCATCTCTGTTATGAACACATGTAAAATTTTGTTTTTGTGTAAGTCTTGATTTAGATTAGACGAGTTTACTTGCGGCAATTTTTGTCGTTCTCTTTTGAACTTGCTTCATGCGTTTATACAAGGCAATTCGGTTTCCAAAATATTTTTCCATTTCTTGTTTTTTCACATTTAAATCTATATAAAATGTCAACAAATACAAAATACAGAAAACGAATTGCCGGAAAATTGTCGGTACGAGCAATTTTTTTTCATTTCTATTCCCCTTGCCCCTCTCTCCAACAAACAAAGACTTGCGCAAGTAAACTCGCCTAATCTAAATCAAGACTAACATGGAGGAAAGGAAGTTGCCAGATCGAAACAAAATTTAGCATGTGTTCATAACAGAGATGGAAGTTTCCAAAATACTTAACTTTTTTCTTTTTATACCGCGCTTTTTGTGCTAGGCTAAGAACTTTACCGACTGACATTTTTTTACTTGTTTTCTCTCAATCATGTTCGGCTTCGAACTTGAGCATTAAAAATGCAGCGACCTGTACAGTTTGTGTACATATTGGAGTTGGCTTTAGCTGAGTGGGGTTTGGCTGGGCAACTGATGAGGTGTGGCATGTGTACCATTACCACAATGCCGGACATATTTTATGCACCATGCTAACAATTCGCGAATTGAGGCGTCTACACCACCATCATCTCAGTTGGTTTGTCTAGATAGCTGTCGTCCTTCTGCGAGTTTTCTCCGAGAATTATTTTTAACCATTCTTCAGTGTAAATATAATTCAAACTTGTTAATCTAGAGCAGTGTTGGGCAAAATTAAATTGAGATCAAGTGTGTGCGAGTGTAACTGAGAATTCACCATTACAAACGACTAACGTAAAGAGAAAGAGAGAGAAAATATGTTTACCAATCGACCCTCTGTTACGGTAGCGTATATGGGTAAGCATGCCTGATCTAGAGGCTATTTTTTGTACTTCTGGACCTCTCTCTAGATCAGGCATGCTTACCCATATACGCTACCGTAACAGAGGGTCGATTGGTAAACATATTTTCTCTCTTTACGTTAGTCGTTTGTAATGGTGAATTCTCAGTTACACTCGCACACACTTGCTCTCAATTTAATTTTTCCCAACACTGCTCTAGATCGTAAAAATTCTTCTTGGGAATCCTGGGGTAATTTGTAATTGGAATTTTTACACATTTCAAAGTTAAATATAAATTACGTTTGAATTCCTCTATTCATCTACATATACATGCCTCTTCACGATTAAGTTGAACGAAAACACTTGTGTTTATTTTTTGTTATTATTCTTTTTTTATTTATAAAATAACTGATAATTTTATTTATCCAACACCATTATTACAGAGTTGAGCGTTAACAAAACACTTGTGTAATGGAAGGGCACACATAGATGTAATATAAAAACAAAATACAATTTACACAAAATAACGATTCAAAAATAAAACCCCCACACTACAAAACATTAACAAATACTTTTGTTTGTTGCCAATTTAATGCCCGCTCATGTTTTTCAACAGATTTCTTTTTTGCACACTTGGTGTAAAACACTGCATATAAAATTACATTTTTTCCTTAGTTTCAGATTTACCACACAATAAAAAGTTTTATAAAATTTCTATGTTAACTATGCTCTTCCATTATATACAGCTATAGCTGTATAATTTATAAAAATATTCTTTAGAGTACACAGATATATAGAAAATGTAAAGGAGAGCCCAATAGAGTCCTTTAAAAAATGTTTTTTGAGAACAAAATGTTCGGCTGGGTTTGTATTCCTTTTTAAAAAAAATGTGTTAACACCATTATTTTGGTTTAGATTAATAAAAAAATGATCTTGCGACAAATGACAAGTATAAATATATGTGGTAGAGACATATTGTGAAGCACACATAGTTATCATTTATTTTTATCCATTTAATTACAGTCTTTGGCCCATTGTATAAATTCGGGTAATTCACTAACGGTTAAATTACGTGACAAAGCTTTTACACGTAAATTACGATCAGTTGTAATTAGAATCAATTCAGTTTGTATGAAACATTTGCCATCTGCAATGAAAAAAAGGATGGAATAAATTAAATTTCTAATTTATTTTTGAATCCAAAGCATTTACCTTTGATGGTCTCAGTGCTCATGGTTTTGGATAATGCCACAGCGGTAGCCAAAATTTTATCATCATTCGAAACATGTTCCTCCTCGACCAAGGCAAATAATGAGGCATTTATTATAGAACCCTTGGTTGTGGCACACCTGAAAAAATAATTATATATTTTTTTTGTTTTCATTTCTAAAAAAAATTAACTTACTTCACATGACTTTTGGCAGATTTAATAAAATCCAATGACTTTTTGGCCCTGGTCGATACATCGTCATAGTGATGTATGCGATGTTTTTGCATATTTTCTAGGCTTGATTCCACTTTAACACCCTTTGAAAGGCCATCGAGTTCCTTGACCACTGTTGTAAGAAAACCAAATTTAGTAGTTTTCAAATGAAAAAAAAAAGAAAACAACAACATACCAGTTAATGGCACAATTAATGTATAGCGTTTAAACTCATTAACAATGCGTTCAAAATCTTCCAAACAATCAATGAAACAATTTGTATCGGGCAATAGATATTTTGGCCGGACTTCAATGTACAATTTTGTGTCCACAAATTTTAAAATTTCCTATTGAAACAAGTGTTTAACATTTATGAGGAATTTGATTTAAAGATAGATTACTTACCTCCAATTTATTTGAATACATTTTCTTGACATTTGATTTTGCCTCCAATTCACGTTTCAGTTTCGACAATTGTGACAGTTGGTCATTTTCCATTTTACCATTGATGGGGTTTACTTTCAACGATTTATTATTGGCTTTCATTGGCAAGGCATCACCATTGACAACAATATTTTCGGTATTGTTTTCCGAATCATCGCAATTTGTATTATCCCTCGCCTCATTTACATTATTACAATTCTCATTATTATCCTCCTCAGCTGCAACAACATTACCACCAAGTGTCTGGGTACTTTGTAAATCATCCAATGCCTGTTTGATATCTGAATTTAATACTTCAGTAATAAAATGTGATGATGTTTCAACGTTTTCCAAACGTTTGTTATGCTTTCTATAGAAGTTTTCAAAATCACAAATGATTTTCAATCTAGCCTTTAACTGTAAACCCTCATCGGATAGGTTATCATCTTTGGGTTTGGGTATTATTGCTGATGTGGGTGTGAAACCGGCCAAAAAGATATCTTCTTCATATTTAATTTCATTGTCCGATGGTATGGTAAGATTTTCTTCTTTCAATAACTCGAAAAGTTTTTCAAGTTCAGGCCAGGTGTTAAAGTAGATGTGTCTAAAAGAATTCAAATATGAATGGGTTTATTATAGTGAAGCTATACTTTGTTATTGCGAAACTTACTCTTCATTTTTAATGGGTTCCCAAATATTAACATGGTGCTGTAGCCACAATATATAAATTCTGTTATACTGCAAAACTGTAGTCAAATCCATAAACCTATGCGGAGGGGAATAACACACATTAAGTTATTCAACCATAATAGGGTATGAAGAAATCAAAATATTTACTTTTCATCTTCGAATTCCTCGGGATTGTCATTTAAATCGGTCAGCAGTGAATTTGTTTTTCGCAGCAATAGTCCAAAGAATTGATTGCAAAAGTTAAATGCATGATAACGTCGTGTGTCTAAAATAAAATAACGAAATGTAAATTATTAATTTTCATATCTCGTGTAATTAGACTTTTTTACCTTTATTTAAATTATGCTCCATCACAAATATATTTAAGGCCAATATTTTCAAAAGTCTTGTTCTTGTAATTCCTATCTTGTTATGTTGTAACAAAACATCAAATTGCATTAAAAGTTTGCGTTGGTGTTCCACAATGGTTTCCATGCTAGAAAACAAAAATAAATATAAGAAACTTTGCATATTTTTTAAAATAAATTTTACTTTTACTTACCCCACACCATTAAATAACTTGCCAATGATGTACAGATACAATGATACAATGCGTCGCAAAAGCTAATAAAATTATAAGAAGTCGCAAAATATTAAATTTTAAAATTTTATTTCGAAAATATGAAAAAACATACCTCTTCAACTGGCATTTCTTTGAAACGTTTCTCTTCGCTAACGGCCAATTTATAATTACTATTACCATTGAAATCGGTGCGATGCAAACGACGCAAGCCATCTGGATAAATCCACACCTCTTTGCGCATTGATTTGGACTGGCAACTATTGTTGTTGTGAAGAAAATTCGCATGTACTGGTGATGATTTCAATTCGGTCTCTTCATATTTTTTGCGTATTTCATCGAATAAAACCAACAGGGATTCTTTTGATGAGTATATGGCATTGGAAGACATAAGGCTACGCATATGGAAGTAAATGGCATCGAATTTTTTACGCTAAAAATATATTCCAATAAATAATTACATGACAATTTCAAACAAATATTAATACATACATTAAGTATTGCTATGATGGCCAATTGATTATAGGGTACGCCATTTGATGGTACTAAAGCTTGAGCGGATTGATAATATTTCTCTGCCGTACTATAATCCTGACCCTGGGCGTCTTTGATTTTATAACGCCATAAATCACCCAAACATATTAAAATCTTCTGGGCCATAACTTTGGCAATAAATTCCAGTTTTTGTTGAGAACGTTGTGAAGACGACGATGCTGATGATGATGAAGATATGCCATTGATTAAAACCTTCTTTTTGAATAAATATTGCTTTTCCAACTCCACATATAGATGATCATAGAATTTGATGCCATCATCAATTATTGCTCGTATATATTTGATGATTTCTGTTTCACCCTGTTGCTGCTGTTGTTGTTCCTTTAAATGTTCCCTCATATTGTAGAAGAGAACTTTCCAAAAGAACGAATCAACCTTCTGCTCACAACAAAATTTAAGATTTTTCAATAGCAATTGTTGGAAGATATCTTGCAGTTCATTGCGCAGAGTACGTAATTTATTCCAGTTCTGAAAGAAAAAAACCTCATTTAAAAGTTGTTCAAAAGGAAATCGCTACTCCGAAACATACCTCTATAGCCTGATTTTGTTGCAATATCTGTTGCAGATTTTCGAACAATTGTGGCAATCGACTTGCCCACGTGTCTTCCAACAGGTCAAACCAATTCGGATGATTTATCCTCTGGACATGTCTGACCGGAGACATTGGCATGATATTCTTCGACGTTGCTAAGACTTCCTGTCTTGTCTGATGTCTGTTGCGTCGTTCATGGTTACGCACACCATTCGAATGGGACGACGACGACGTTTCGTTCAGTTTCTTGACATTTTCCGCATTGAGACGTATCAAACCTGGTATTGACACCGATTCTTGACTGTCCCCATTCTCAGTTGCATGTTTTTGCAGCACTTTCATCTGCCCATTATGCTTTGTTGTAGGTCCGCTGGTTTCCAAAACAGACCTAACAACGTTGCCCGTACGTTCAACATCTGTTCCAGTTGGCAATCGCAAAAAGTAATCAATGGTTGTCACACCACCATCCATTGGCGTTGGCCTTCTATCGGCCACCACACCTCCGTCTGCCATTTGCGTCTCCAGAAGCAAGCCATCGTTGTTAGTCCTTGTCGTCTCATGTTGATTACTTTTGCCCGCGCCTTTTTTATTTGTGTCTATCACATTGCCACCGCTGCCAGTGCCACCACCACTATTGCTGTTATTCCCTTCACGTATTATGATTTTATCCTGTAGTCGTTTTGGTAGGTTCCCGATAATTATGGAAATATCATTTTGTTCTCGTGTTCCCTTTCGATTCATATTTCAAACACAACGCCATCAACCGCATTTATGGTTCTTTCTTTTTAGATGTTTTGTAATTTTAGAATTACACTTGCGTTTTTGGATAGAAAATGAATGCTGTTGCTGGTTTGGTCTACACATCAAATCAAACGATGACGATTCTAGTGAAGTTGGTCGCGATACTTTTTTATGAACCTATCAAATATAAAAACGTTCCACAGCCAAGAAACAGAGGAGTTGGGATAGAGCGATTGATGATAACGAACACAAAACAAAAAACCGAAATAACTATTATTTACGAATGAGTGTAATGCATAACGGACACAATTTAGTTTTAGAAAAGACATGGAAGAAGTGAAAATCAGCTGATGATATTTCAGATTCCCTAAAATGAACGACAAAACCTATTTCTAATTGGATGCTGTTTAAGGTAAGGCGACCAGATTTTGAAAATGAAAACATATGACAAAAGAGAAAAAGTCTATTTTTAATAACAATAATATTATGCAGGGTGTATTTAATAAGGTGTATGCATCAGATACAACAACAAATATTTTACAAAAACAACATTGTTGTTATAGAAATGAAATTGTCACGCTGACAATAAGTTTTTGACAAAAATAAACAAAAACAATTATTAATTTATTTCTGTCAAGAACTATTCTTTGAGGAATAATTAATGAATTTGTATATTCTTGGGTTATTGGCGGTTTTAGGTCAGAGAAAAATAATGTTTAAGACCTGGTCGCGGTTAATTTTAAGTTTCCCACATGCAGCCCATGGCCCCTTGTGATGTTTATATTGTGAATTACAATCTATTTTTTCTATGGAGTGGCTTCAAATCTTGCCTTCGTAAAGAATATTGAAGGACATAAATCCCCGGCCGAAGACTAAATCATGGAAATATCCATAGGCGTATTTAAACTCCGCCGAGGATTGTGACAAGCACCAAGGGCCCATTCCTATATAGGCTAACATAACCTCCTCGATTTTATGAGTAGCTGGGACTTATGAACAGATTTCCACACATAACATTAAATATGTGGACCAATTGGCAAACGGGGTTATAACTGATTTAAGTCTAGACTTTCTTTCTTATTATTAAAAAAGCCTACATTTGAAATCGAAATGTAGTATTAAAAATATTTTTGACAATTTACTTTACCAACAATCAAGAGAAAAGTTTGAAACCATATGATTGTTACTTACACCTTATTAAATACACCTTGATATTATGTGTATAAAATGTAAATATTGATTTATTAATAAATGTATAAAGTGAGTTAAAAAATCGTTAATTACAACTGTGTCAAATTTTTCTTCCCAAACGAATAATCTTGGGATATTGATCAAGGTTATAAAAATATAGATGACAGATTAAATAGATCACAGATAGAGGACATAAATTTTATAAATGACAGTTAGTTAAAATAGATGATTGTCCTCTAAAAAAGAGAAGGGGACCCCCTCCATTCTCGATTTAAATTTTTTGTTGTTTTTAAACAACTGGCAACAGAACGTACAATGCATTCACAACTTGTAACTTTACATATATTTTAAAGAAAATAAAATGGGTATAAAATAATTTGTTGTTGTTGTTTTGCAGTTTTTTTTTTGTAATTAGTCCTGATTTAGATTAGGCAAATTTACTTGCGGCAATTGTTATCGTTTTCTTTTGAACTTGTTTATGCGTCTACACATTGCCGGTACAAGCAGTTTTTTTCTATTTCTACTCCCCTTGACCCTCTCTCCCGCAAACAAAGATTTGCCGCAAGTAAACTTGCATAGAATTGAGATTGAATTATTTGCTCTCTTTTAATAAAATCTGAATGATGAACATTCTGTAAAAATGTATACAACTTAATTTTTGTTCCGATACTGAAAGTTTTATAACTTTTTAATCCAACATAAGAATGACAACTTCAGACTTTGGTGATTTGGAAGTAGTATTTCCGCTCCAGAACTTCTCGTATTAATTTGTACCCAGAAATAATTTGATATTTTCCGTCTTACTTGCTTTACTAGCAGTGGCTACTTTTCCAGTAACATTTACTCAGTAAGTTATATTTCAGAGAGTAAGCCCTTTTATTCTCTTTTGCAATAATACTGAGAAAAGTAAACATACAAATTCTAGTGATATTTTGCAAATTATTCCGTAATTTCACTTGAAATGCTAGAAATTTATTTTCTTTAATTATTAATGAATGAAATCCATAAAATAAAAAAAAAAACGTTTTTTTAGTTTGGTTAATATTAAAAATTAACAGCTGTTTGAAATACATCAAACTGTGCTGGATAAATTGTACTGGAAGAAATTTACCAGTAACATTCAGTAAGTTCTCAGCCTAAAACTGTCGAACTTGCTCCTTCTTTTCGCTCTCTTTTACTAGACTTTTTAGTAAACCGACAACATCCAGTAAAGTTTGGTAACAATTGTTACGAAATATAGAGTAAACAGACACAGCTACTATAAAAAAGTACTGGAACATAATATTATTGAGCGAATAAATACATATTAACAGAAAATTATAATAGCTTTTAAATATGCAGATTCTGGAACTAAACTAATGTATCAATGAATTAAAAAAGAAACAAAAATCAGCTGTTATGCTTTGTTCAATTAAATGAATGTCTGCAATGGAACTAGTTCACCTATGTGAATTGTATCATTACAATAGTTTTTCTTTCAGGAGCAATAGGACGAGAGGACAAAGAGTATAAGGATGGCCCAAGTACAATTCCTGGACAAACTACTCCATGAATATTTGGTTTTTCGTGGCTTTTCCAATACCATAAAAGCGCTGGACAATGAATTACGCACCGAAAAAGACCAATCATTCCGAGCTGAAAAAGTTATGGAACAATTTAATCATTGCATTAATCATAATGACCTACAGGGATTATTATCGCTGTGGAAACATTTGGATGCTAATCTCTTTAGTAAGTTGGAGCATAGCTATGCCATGGGTAAGTTGATGGGAATTTATATTATGTTCCGATTAATAGTAGTTTTTTCTTTGTTTATTTATTTCAAATAGCTGTAAAGAAATTGGAGAACAGTTTGTTGAAACTATATTTGGTCACTGCCTACAATCACAATAAGACTGAGAAGATAACTGAGTTCTTTAACAAACTAGCTGCGGAACTGCAACAACAAAGTGAATGGAAGGATTGGTTTTGTAAGTATTTGTTGAGAATAAATGGATTTAAGAATAAACATAGACTTTAAAAATTCCCTCCCTCTCAATGGTTATTATTTTCAGTAAATGCTTGAAATTAGAGAAATATTAATTTTTTACAACAATTTTCATATGAATAACGGGGATTTAACAAATTACTTTTGACAACTCCACCCCTTTTAAAAATCCTTTTAAAAATTCTATACTTATTTTTCGGCAATTAAAATTATTTTTATAAAATTATTTCTTCTGCTCCATTACAGATTTCCCATTTTGCCGTAATCCCGAAGAATCCCAACCATTTTCCTTGTACTTTAAAAAGGAATGGCAAGATACCTTTCAGCTGTCGCTACGCAATTTTCTCGCAACCATATATCAATGTCTGCCACAGCCAACATTTGTTCGGGTAGAACAAGAAGCAGCTCTCATAAGACGCTTACAAGAAGAAAATGCCCTATTAAAGTCACGTTTGCAACAACAACAGCAACAATTATCAGCTTCTCAGAGTTCTCAAAATCTTGCCAACACAACAAGTTCATCAGGTAGCGGTGCGGATGTACATAGTCGCCGTCGTGCCTCTTGTCGTCCACAACAAAGTCTTAGTGACATTTTACCATTCGATATAAGTCCTCCGGGTCACATTGTCGATGATTTTTGTATTATTGCCACCGAAGTAAACAGTGTTACACAGGCAAGCGATGCCCAGGCTCGTGGACTGAAAATGCTAATACGTAATATTGGTTCGGGAGGATCTCCGGTCATGGGTCGCAAAGATAATGTTGGTCATGGTGAGAAATCGGCCAAACGTCGCTCTGGTAGTGTTGGCAGAAGTTGGATATAAATAAATAAAATCATTTAAATAATTATAATTTATCCATATATATTTTGTCATTCCAATTTTTATGTTATTTTTTATATACTCAGTTTATTATAGTTTGATCTCCAATATATCAACAATTATATATGTATTTATATTATAGATATTTAATTTTATAAATAATATATATTTAGAGCGAAAAAAATATAGGCTCAAAATATAAATATATCTTTGAATTATTGTCGGGATGATATGGGCATCTAGTAAAAGAGAATTATATAATAATGGAGAATGGAATACCGTGTTTTCCTTTTTTATATGAAAGTACAATGTGATCTTCCACAGAATAAAAAACTTCTGTGCTTCAATAAGGTGTAAGTCATTAGTTCTCCTGATAGAAGAAAATACATTCTGTGAAAATGTGTTTTCAATCAAATGCCCTTCTAAAGAATTGAAGACAAATAAGTTGGAAACATTTTGGTCATCGTATAAAAAATACCTTGTAAAGAAGATCTTGAGGTTTTCAATAGAATAGATGAGGCGTGGTACTTCGCATAATAGAAACTTTTATGGACATCTGCAAAATAGTAGAGGTTGTTGTTTTCTATAGAATAGAAGATTTTATTGTATTTTATAGAATTAAAGACTGCATTTTCTGGGGAATATAATATTTGTAATTTTCTATGGAACATATGCCATTGTTTCCTTCGGTAGTGTATAATACGTTGTCTCGGTTCTGTGTATTATAAAAAACCTTGTGCAGCTCCATAAAATAGAAAACTGTGCTATTTTCTTTAGAATATAAGACTATATTTTTTGGGACCCCATGGGTCCATTCCATCTGGCACCACCCCAACGAAGAGAAAACAGTTTGAATTTTTTTTTAATCCAATAACAATCTTTTAGAATTTCCAATTTGTAGATGGGACCGACCTATCATCTATGGGTTCACTCCTACTACATACAGACTGTTTGGCCTAAAAGTATGCTATAATTTTCTTTATAATCCAGCCGCCGTAATTATGAGAGAAAAACTGCCATTTGTCAAACATCAATTTTTGTGTGGTTTTTCACAATTTGGTGGTTTATTTTTATTTTGAAAATGAAATATCTTCGAATCCTCAAAATAAAAATTGAAAAACATGAATGAAAATGTATCAAATTTATATTTCTATCGCTTCCACATCTTTCCTATAATTGAGCCATTGCCATATATATGTGTAACACATATGAAAATGCTGGGAATAGCGAGTTATTCCTTTCAAATTGTATGCGTTCCCAATTTTCCTGTTCGGTGATTTTTAAAAACATAATTTGTCTAATTCATATTGACACTAGTATTACGTTGGAATCAAATCAGCTGGGATTTGTTGTTACCTTTTATAATTGTACCATGGAAAACATGTAAAATGAGTAGATTCTTTTAGGTTCTGGAACGGAACTATTGTGTCTTTGGATCAAATCCGTTCCACACAATTTGGAGTCGATTTACAAATGTCCGTCCGTTTTTCTGTCTGGCGGACTTGTAGGCACGATAAATCTTAAAGGGAGTAACAGATTTCATCCAAACTTTACACATCGCAATATTTCTTCTAAACTTAGTTCAAGTTCGAATATCCCCCCACCAAAATGGTAAAATAAAAAATACGATTTTGAAACTTTGCACAACGTAATATTTTTACCAAGTCTGTGTATTGTTGGAATATACGACGGATTCCTTCTTGTTTCTTCTTCATAAAAGGTTAACAGTTTGAAAACATATAAATCTAATATGGAATATCCAATTTCATCGAAACTTTATACATCGTAATGGTCATGGTCAACTCTTTGTGTATAATTCCCTAGAACTCCGCAAACCATAAACTGAGGGTATATATCTGTCGTTAACCGATTTATTTCATTGTTTGCACTTTCTAATATTTTACTAAACCTAATTTAAATCCGATGATGGGTTTCTATAGGGCAACTTATTCTGGTACTTCTCCACAGATGGTCAACTGTTTGATAAAAAAAACTATAAAGCCGAATAATAAAATCTGTGTATAATTCCGTGGACTTCCGCAGAACTATAGGCAATTTTGGCATTTTTAAGGATATTGGGTAAATATTTCAACCGAATTGGCTCTAATTTGATATTTTGAGTATTAATATAATATTTGAGTGGAAGATCTTCCTACCAAAAATTATAAATATCAGTAGAACTTTTGGTATAGTCTCTATATAGATGTTTTTATTTATTTCAAAAAATGCAATTTGAAGCCTTGTGACTAAAGTAATTTCGCATTATGGAAGCTTTGTGTATAAATAACTACTTCTCAGAACTTTTTTTTTATATTTTTATATCCCCTGTCTGAAAGCCATGCGTCATTTCCGCTATGTTCAAGGCCAGAACCCATTTTTCGAAAATGAGTGTATGTAGTTTGGCATTTCAATCGATGTTAAGTATTTTGAATACCCAGCTCACGGTGGAAAGTATAAAAATGTAGGCCCGACCGAACATAAAACAATTTTATTTGTTTGTCTTTTTACCCCCATTCGTTAAACCAAATAAAAACACAATTTCATTTTATTCTTTTTTATTTTATTTGTAACTTGTTTTAATTCGTTTATTTGCTTCTCGATTGTTTGTTTGTTTTGCTTGATTTTATTTTGTTAATAATTATTATCAACTAAATTGCTTAATAAAACATATTGGGTTTTTGTTGTTGTTTGATAATGGAAAATTAATTGAAGAAAACTAAATCTTATATAAATACAGGTTGGTTTGTTTGTTTTGCTTGGGGGACATTTGTAAATAAATAAGATTATATGATATTACAAAAGTAAAATTAACATTATTGCAAATTAAAAAAGAAGAAAAGAAAATGCAAACTCATTAATATTAAAAAAAGAAAATAAACCCTTAAAATTATAATATTTTTATATAAAGTGTTTATAGATAATAGCCAATGTATAATAATTTAAGATTATTTTAAAGTTTTTCTTTTTTAAATAAAAAAAAATATATTTTGATAATACACAAGTATAAAATACCTAACGATTTGTACAAAGGCATATATATGTAAATGAAAGGCTTAGTTAAATTTATTAATAATAATAATGAAAAAGAAAAGAAAACTTAAGACTAAACAATTTTCAATAAATAGCTGCTAGTTTTCTATTCTTAAAAAAAGGAAACTAATTTGTTATATAAATATATAATAATTAATTCAAATGTGGTTTGTTTGTTTGTTTGCTGTTTTTTTAATACAAAATTATGAAGAAATTTACAGAATTGTTTTGATAAACAATAAAATAAGTAAAGGATGCAGGACCACCAAAGAATGAAATCGATATCTCTGGTAAATGGCAATACCGTAATTAAGTAGGTAAACTGTCAATATTTAAATCAGTTATTGAAACTAAAATCTTAACCGCGATTTTAAGGACATCATCCATTTCAGTGACCTGCAATCTTAAAAAGAATATGCCGTTCTATCTTTTTTTATTCAAAAGAGTTTGAAGTTGCCTTACTAAAAATTGCTAAGTTACAATTTTTTCTTTCAATTAATTTGTTGTTGTATAATTTTATTTTTTTTCTTTTATTATTATTTAATTGTTGTATATATAACTTAGGAAAAAAGCTCACTATCTAGTATATGAATAACTAAATTCAATATGATTTGATTGTTTTGCTTGATAATTGTTATGATATAATTATTATTTTTTTGTCGATTTCCAATATAAGTAAATGCATAGGTTCTGGTATTCTTTCCATAATTGGCAGATGTAATTTTTTTATCAATATTCAAGGCAAAGGTGGATTAAGTTCGTCAAAGATGATGACACAGAAAGAGAATACAGACATGGGAGAGGACACATGGAAACATTTTTTTAATTATTATATTATATAGAATATATATATTATATAGAATGAAAATATTTCGTAAAAATTCCCGAAACCCACATGGTAAGGTAGTTAGGGGTATAAAAGTTATGGAAAAACATTTTGAACGCCAAAGGATCTGATGGGATATGCCACATATTTCCAGTGGCTGTCCTGCATAACACATTCTCAAGAAATAGTCCTCTTTGTGGATAAGATAAATAAAAGTATTCTGCAAACATTTCGAACTTTATCCATTTTGCCTTTATATTGAGGGGGATAATATTTTAAATTGCTTTTCAAGTTTTGTTTGTGTGTGTGTTTTTTTTTTATTATAGCTCATATTTTCACTTTCTTTGAAAATATTCTTATAAAGCAGTCTCTAATGCTGGCATATTAGCTAAGGAAGCAGCTGTATTTGTCATTGTGGCATTGGAAGTATTACCACTGGGAACCCGAATATTATCCATACTTGGATTTGAAACATTAACATGGGCCATCATTGATGTTAAAGTTGATATGCCACCCCCGCCACCAGCAGCCACATTACTGCTATCGGTTAAGGGTTTCATTATCGGTTCCACTTTACTAACCATTGGCGGTTTTGCATCGGATTTATTACGACCAAAACTCGATCTCAATTCACTGCGCATAAAATTATTCTCCTCGGCTTGTAGGAAAATGTTACGTTTAATATTGAAACTTTCATCATCGATCATATTTTCTTCTTCGGAATTTTTCGAAGTGTTCAATGAACTATTTGCCGAATGATGGTGATGGTGATCTTCTTCACTGTTGGCTTCAGGTATTGTTGTGGACATAATGTCGGTACGTTGCAACGAATTGGAACGTGTTGTCTTCAATTTGGGTGCAAACGATTTTGAGGGCGAACCAAATTGACCCTGACGCAACATACGACGATTGGCAAATGTTTTGGGAGAACCACTTAAGTCTAAAAGTTTCATGGAAGAATTTAATTGGGAGAGTGTGCCGCTACCACCACCCCCAGTAATGCTAATTGGATTGGAGCTAGTGCTGGAGGAGGATGATTTGAGTGGAGCTGTGAGTTGGGAATTTTGTTGATTGGTAAGATTGTTTTTCTTTAGCAATTCCACAGCGGACATTTTCTTGGGTAGAGTACTGCTCTTGGCCGATTTGGCCAAGAGTAGGCGCTTGAAATCCATTAGACTGGTTTTACTTTGGCCAATGCGATCGGCACAGGTATTCAAACGTTCTGGCGAGTTGTCATCCCAATTCCGGAGGCGTTGTTTGGCTGGTATATTATCAGCTGGCAGTGCAGAATCTGAATTACGTATGGGCGTTGAGGTGTGGAAATTGGTGTTGGTGCGTTGACGTACAGCACTGGGCGATGCTGGAAGATTTGCTGAACTTGGGGCCTCAGCGGCCGCTGCTGCTTGTTGGGCTTGCTGACGTTGCTGCTGCTGCTGTTGAGCCAGGGCCAATCTTTCGGAACGCTTTAGAGGCGTGGCATATAAATCATCACGACTCAGAGCATTGGCTGGAGCCTGCGGTTTAACCGGCCGGCGATTTTGCAAAGTCCAATAAAGCGGTGAATTACGTTGGAATGTCGAGGCCGCTGCTTGATTTTGACTTTGACTCAAAGTCTCATAATAGGGCTGTATCATGCCATCCACTTCATCGGGACTCTTATATAAATGTTGATAACCTAAAGACAAGAAGAAAAAAAATCAAAACATTATTCAAAAATCTATTAAAGGGAAAGAAAAATATTTAAAATTTTTGGAAAACCAAAAGCTGAGCATAATGTAGACCCTTAAACCACACAAAAATTAGTTTTGGAAATTAGTGAGTTAATGAAAAAAACTATTAAAAGTGACAGGTAAAAGTTTTAAAAATTATTTTTTTTTAAATTATTAAACGAAATACATACTACAACAATTACTAGTACAACAATACAAATTTAAATAATTAAATTGTTTTACAAAATCAACTTTACAAAAATATTTTACATTTATTACATTATTTATTACATATTGAACGTAGGACAACGAGAGGAAAATAACCAGCAATGTTTAACATCCTGTTACAAGCTTTAACATTTCCTCCATTAGTATAGGTTCCATAGTCAAAGGGAATTAACAACCCACCTATCTAACCCAATTCTGAGCAGGCATAGAAAAAGGAAGTTATTACATACATACATAGATATACAAATGATTTATAGAACCACACACATGTACGAGTACATATAGACATATATAGTAGTAGTACTATCCATGGAAGAGAATACATCACAAATACAATTGTACTATTGAGGTCATTTCTGATGATGACGACGATGATGATACATACCTGTTGACATCCTTGTTACAAATTCATTTAACTTTTGTTTGTGCTGTTGTTGTAATTTTATATGTATAAATGTTGTACCGTACTGGGTTTTTATTGCTATGGGTATATAGTATGTGATATGTCAGAGTGTGATCGTAGCACCACACAATGTCATAACGTTCCCAATGATGGCTGTTTTGTGTAAGTAAAGTTCTATGCCCTATATTTTACATATGTACATAAATGATGGGTGGGCGGATGGATGGAAGGGGATTTTCTACGCGACATCAGCCATTATAATAACTCATTTGTATGGAGGATGTTTATTGTCTAACTTATTCATAAAGAGATGTTACATGGGAGAATTGTTATAATTTTACCAATTTTTATATTTATATATTAGGTTTTTACTTTTTAGAACAGGGAGGATTTTTTCGGAACAAAATTTAAATATTTTATAAAGTATTATTAAACGATTGATACACTGAACCAAGGACTATGAATAAGGCCACAGACAAGATTTATTAACAAATTGACCCAGCATGCCAAAGTCAGCTGTTTTTTCTCAAGTCTAATGTCAAAAACTTGGACTTTGTTTACATTTTCATCAAGATCTAATAATAATCTAATAACCAGGTAGCGAAAGTCAGCTGTTTTTTCTGAAGTCCAATGTCAAAAATTTGGACTTTGGTTACCAAGATCTATAAATAAGGCCATCCAAGTAGCAATCGAAATAGGAAAACAGCTGTTTTTTCTCAACTCTAATGTCAAAAATGTCGACTGTGTTTACGTTTTCAAAATGTAAGTCAATTCACAATAATGCATTTTGACAGCAAACTTCAGTGGTGCAGATATCCAGCTGGTCTCCCTGGGTGACCTTATTTGTAGGCCATGTTGGTTACTTTTTTATAATGGAAGCCAATTCACAATAGTGGATTTTGACAGCAACCTTGAGAAACAGCTGATATCGAGCGGGTCTCCCTGGATAACCACAGATAACAAACTGTCATTTCTTAAGTTCTATTAATAAAGTCACTCAGGAAGAGAAAAATAGATGATTTTTTTCTTAAAGTTAATGGAAGTCAATTCACAATAATCGATTTTGAACAACAAATTGAGAAGCAGCTGATATCCAGCTGGCATCCTTGGATCACCTTATTAAAAAGCCTCCGGTTAATGGCAAAAATGTGAATGTTATTTACGTTCAAGGTGTATTAATAAGTTCACCCAGAAAGATCGTCTGCTAAACAGCTGCTTCTTATGTTTGCTGTCAAAATGCATTATTCCGAATTGATTTCCATTATAAAAACATAACGAACGTTCTAATATTTGACTTCATACTTAAGAAAAATTAGATGTTTTTGCTAATTGTGTGACCATACTTATATTTTCGCTATGTGAAGTCAATTCACAATAATGGATTTTTGAAGGCAAACTTGAGAAACAGCTGATCTTCCTAGATAGCCTTATAAATTGCATTGCACTGGTCAATGGCAGAACTCAATATTTTAAACCGAATTTTATCACGGGGAATAAAATTCTATAATTTATGCTATATTTACATGAAACTTGGTTTAATAAAGCAAGTCATTTAGATTGTCAAATCCTTCGCTTATAAGTAAACTACCTATCGTATCTGCTGAATATTCAAAATTTAGGCACTAATATAATGTTTTACACTATTTTGAATGAAGTGTTTTTACACTGAATGACGTGTTTTGATATGATATAAATGACAGACAGCTGATGGTTGTTTATGTAGTGTTTGAATAAATTATAACATTTCAAAACTTAATTTATACTATCCAAGATTATCCTTGCAAGAATGAATAAAACTGCAAACAAATCATAACAGTCAACAAATATTTTTGGAGAAAACTAATGGTAAACAGCTGATGTATGACAAATATTTTAAATCAAATAATTTTTAATAGAAATACGCCATTCAGAATTTCATTTGTTGTGCATGAAAACCTTTGTAAAAAATAGTATATTTTAACTTAGTACAGTTTTTCGTACAGAATAGGTGTTATATTATTATTGAAACCGCATTTACATTAGAACTTTTAACTGGGTTAACTTACTTTATGAGCATTTATTTGACATATATACAATGGAAATGACAATTTAAAACCACTGGGTTAACGAAATCCGGTACAATGTAAATGTACTATTCTTCCGACTTATTTTAATAAAAAGAGTTTGAAATAAATTGAATTGAAACTAATTCGTCAATTTTTATATCTGGCAAATTTTAACATATTTTTCCTTTATGTTCATTTGGTAAATCCCGAAATTAAATAATAAACTCTTGTATAAAACGACATTTACATTAGAACTACCTAACCTACTTCATGATGATTTATTTATCATAAATAGAATGGATTTGACAATTTAAACCCACTGTGTTAACGAAATCCGGTAAAATGTAAACGAATTATAATTGTGAAATTCAAACAGCTATTTTAAATGCAATTGTTTTATTATATATCCTAGGTTTATTTGATAAAATATATTGGTACAAATCACCTGGATAATATTCATATCATGTGACTGTCAGTTATAATATTTCAATGATAAAATAAAGGCTAGAATTCAAAATTATTTATAAAGCTGGAGGAATAACTTTCACACACTAAATATTAATCTTTATAACCTAAATTGAAAAATAATTTTAAATTGGCATTCATATTAGAACTTTTTTGCAGGATTAACCTCTTATATGGGAATTTATTTGAAATTTATTCATGGAATTGACAATTTGAATACATCGGATTTACTAAATCCAGTACAATGAATATGTACAAACAAATTCTAGCGAGATTTAAATACAATGTTATATATTGTAGAGCCGACGTAATGTATTTTTTTACATTTACTTTTTAATAGTAGTAGTACAAGATACAATTTTTAAAGTGTATCAGTGACTGTCATTTATAACTTTTGATGGTGTAAACAATCATAAATTGTTAAATTTTTTAATCAGTATTATTTGTTTTATTATAAATTTTTAATACGTTTCCTTTGTGAATTTGGTCAACATTCTCTACAAGTATTTTTCCTCTTAAATAAACCAAAAGTGTTCACACTGATGCTGCATTCCAACCTTATGTTTCATCAATGTTTTATGTTAAAAACTAACCAATGCCATTATTTCAATAACAATGAATACCCACATACATACATATGTACACAGTATTAAAAATCAAGGTGTGGCGTTCCAATGATACCATGGTGCATCCATCATCCGCGTTTACAATGCAGTGGTGGGTGATATCTATTCAACCCAAAATCCCCAACCATATTTATATGTACATTCTATGTATAATTGTGTGAAATGAGGTATATAATGTGGGTGTTTGGAGGTATAAATAAAAAATTTCCATTTTTTCCAGTTTTATAATTAATAACATATATATTATGAATACGTTTATATAGCCTATAATTATTATAAATTATAACAAAATGGAATGTTATTTGACTCGAGATTGACAGGTGAGCTGGTGATGGAATGTTTTTCTTTTCGGCAAGTATTACAACAAAATGTTTAAACATTACATTTAAACAATTAAACTTATTATCTAAATAGTATTTAATTGTCATCTGTATGACAATAATAATAATAATAAAAATATCGTATAAAAATGCAATATAATTTTTAATTAATAAAAAGGAATTATTAAAAAAACAAAGAAAAGTTTAATGGGTTAACAGGAACACGTATTTTATATTAAGTAGCATGTAAACATAAACAAACTGACAATAGTGGGAACATAACAATAGTTTTTCAACACACAAAGAAAATCGGGTGACGGATATGTTTTTAACATTTTGCAGGACAAATGTTGGCTGATGAGTAAATGAAAAAGG